GACTCAAGAGCTCCTTGGCAGCCTCCTCAGGTCCTTCCCTTGCCCACCCTGGCAGGGACCCCCTCACCCCAGCTTTTGGTTCAGGAGGCGCTTTTCTTTGGCGGCTGCCAGCTTCTCCCGTAGCTCCTCTCGCTGTCTCAAGGCCATAGGGTTGATGACATCGGCTGCCACGGGCTCCTCCTTGGTGCCCGCCTCTGGAAGGGGGGCCCAGACGTGAGGCTATGCCTGCCCATGGCTGGTGGGGAGAGGAGGGAGCCACTCACCCTGCCCCCTTCCAGCTCATGGGGCCAGAAGGGGCCAGGAGAGGGGCGGGGGCTGATCTTTCACCGTCCTCCTCCCACTTCAGCCCCACACTTCCACGTCCCCCCACACAGCATGATAGGACCCTCCACACTTTACAAGCCCCCCCAACGCCCCGCCGCCCCCAATCACGCTTTAAGAAACAAACAAACCCACCACCTGCATAGCCTAGATCAGTCTGCAGTACCTGTGCACATGTCTTAGCCTGGGAGGCTAACGTGGCCTCCCAGCTGAAGCAAGCACACAGTGCTAGGCATCTGAACGTCAAGAATAAGCCTCTTCCCAGCCCCCCATCACGACCGTAAGGAAAGGCCTTGTGCTTATCAACAAGTACATACACACACACACACACAGGGCCACTAAATGATGTGGAACCTGAGCCATAATCCAACCCTCCTCAAAGACCCCTTCAGATGGTCTTTCGCCTCCACCCAAATGCCCTCCCTCAGCCCTACACTCACCCTTCTTGACGGCATTGACCTCCAAGGGTTTCAGCCCCAACTTTGCCCGGAGTTTACTGAAGACGAGATACAAATGTTAGGAGCTGTCGACGAAACAGGAACATCAAAGACATTTCTGGACAGACAGGGGCTGAAAACAGGATGGAATTGAGAGGTCCTAAGGGTTCCCAAAGCAGGGACTGACCCAGGCAGCCTAGGACACTAGGACAGACACCAGCCTCCAAATCAGGGAACATGGGCGCTAGGCCTGGCCTGCCCCTAACCAGCAAAAGGCCATCTTTCCTCTTGGGTTTTAGCGTCCTCTCCTATAACTCAAATGGTTATGCTCCAGTTCCAATTAGAATGTTAAGTGGGTGAAAGGCCCCCCAAGAAGCTGTCCCAGAAGCTCTCTGTCTCAGAAAAGAAAAGTAGAAACACAAGGGAGACGGAACTTACTTGGTCTCCTCGATGCTGAGTGACGAGGCATCTCCTGAGCTAGTTTTAGAGCTGGCCGCTGGAACAAGAAGCATGGCTCAGGAGCTGAACAAAGGGCCAACAAGCCACATCTCTAGCTCTAGCGGCAGGGACCCCCTCACCAGCAGCTGGGCCTTACGGAGACACCCAAAACCAGCAGCCTTCCTTCACGCCAGGAGCTCCTTCTACCTCATCCTAATCTCTTGACACCCCGACTCTCTATATAACCTTCCTTTCCTGACCCAAAAGGTCCAACCTTGCTTCATCCTTCACCTTTGCCTCTGCTCCACTTCTGTATACTCTGTTTTCAGCCTGCACTGCCCTCCTTGGCCTAACTCTGATCGACAAGATCCTATTCAAATGCAGAGACCAAATGCCACCTCCTTCTTGAACTCCCTTTCAATGATTGATCCGAATGAACTGCTCTCCCCTGAACTCCACAGCCCCACCACTCACTTCCGAGTCTGTTTCTCCCCACAGGCCAGGGACCGTGTTAGCAACATGACTATGTCCTCTGTGCGGTTCATCCGGTCAAGAAATGTATTTATTGGTCCCTGATTTGTGATGGATGTTAAGAACACTGAGATAAAGCATTTCAGACCTCTGCTACCCACCTCACAATCAGCAAATAACTTCGCGGAACCCCACAGACAGAAGCTGGACACCATCAGATGGAGCCCCCCCACCCAGCTGCCACCCCTGCTCATCCTTCCTGCCTCCCCACCCCACAACGTACCTCCTCCCCTATATCTCACCTGCACCCTGGATCCCAACCTCTCCAGGCTCTCTCCAAGGTCACCAGCCTCCTTAATTTCTAAATCCAGTGGATTCTTTTCAGCTCGAATTTCCTTCACTTTCTGTGGCGCGTGACACCGTTGATTACTCCTTCTATATCTCTGTTCCCACAGACCCCATGATACAAGATTCGACAGATTTTCCTGCCTTTCTGGATACTGTACCACCAGGCATTTTTGTAGCATCTTGCTCCACCTATTACTAAAACGTTGGCATTTCTTAGGTTCTACTGTCCACTCCTCACTCTCTCTCAGTGGACTTCATTTGCCACCTAAATACTCATGACTTCCAAACTGCTCTACCCAGCCCAAACCCTGCACATCAAACGCAACGCTCTCCAAAACTGAACTCTCTCCCCTCAGAAGTCTGCTTCTCTCCCAAAGTCCTCAATTTCAGTACACAATACAACCACCCATCCAGTGGCTCAAACCACAATTCAGGGAGTCATCCTCATTTCCTTCTTCCCACACTCATCCAAGTGCTAAGCTCTCTTAATTCCTCCTTCAAAACAGTTCTTCAGTCTGTTCAGGTCCCTCCATCCTACTGCTCTGCCTCAGTGCGGCCACTACCGGCCCTCACCTGACTTCCAGTGTTGACTACTCTTGAGCCAGTTCTCAATACAGTGATCTTTGCAAAATACAATCAACTCATTCCTCAGCTCAAATCCATGGCTCCTTACAACCCTCAAGACAAAATTCAAATTTCTGTAGGGTCCTCTGTGCTCGGACCCGGTTCATATCTCTGCTATGAACCCTACACCATTTGCCCAATACCAGCTTTCTTCTTGGTTCTGCACTCGCTAACACAACTTCATTCATTCACTCAACATTTATTGAAGGCCTGTGATGTGCCAATTTTGAGAAAACAAAATCTCTGCCCCCGCGGAGCTTAGCAGACGAAGGCAATCTTTAATCCCAAATAACCGTATAAAGCCTCTTTAAGAAGGGCTGATGAACTCAGCCTCGAGGTGCCTGGGCCCCGGCGTGCTCGGGCTGCACACCCAGGCCAGCCCGCCCGCTCCCGGGCCCCCACCCCGGCCCGCCCCGCCCCCCCCACAGGCCCCGCCCCTCACCGGCCTCGTAGCAGTCATCGCGCTTTTCCCGCTTCACGCGCCGCTCAGAGGGCTCTGTCTGGCTGCGCTCCCGCCCGTGCGCGCCGCTGCGGGCCTCGGCTTCGGCCCCGCGCCGCCCGCCCCCGCGCTCGCCCCCACGCTCCCGGCTCCGCTTCCGACGTTCGCCGCCGCTGCTGCCGCCGCCGCCGCTCCGGTGCTTGTGTTTTTTGTGCTCCCGGTGCCGCGGCGGCTGCTCGGTGGCGCCTCCAGTGCTGGCCGCCGCCGTCGTCCCGGCCGCCTCCTTCTCTCCGCGGTGCTTCTTTGAAGACCCCATGGCGGTACGTCCGCCCCGAGCCCGGCCGCCGCCGAGCCCCGACGACGCAAAATGGGAACACTTCCGGGTCGCCCGGCAGCCGCTGTCGTGTTGCCGGAAACCAAGAGTGGCTGCTTCCGTCGTTCGCCTCGGAGCCCGCCCCAAAGGTTCATGGGAAGGCCGGGATCGGAGCCCAACTGCGCAGTTGCGGCCGGTGTGGTGTGGGGTGGTGGTCTTTAAGCTGGCAGTGTCACTGCGCATGCGCTCCAGGGGGCGCCTGGACTCGGTCTAGGGGTTGCATGTCTCTGAACCATAAACCCTTTAAGCCAGCAACCTGGGAGCTGGAAGCACCTCCCGGCCACGGGACGCGCCCTGCCTCGTGGTCTTGCCGTGGATGGCACCTGCCGCTCCCGTAGGCGTCCACTAGGGCTCCCCCGGGACGTGGCTCTAGCGGGTGTGGGACGACGCATTATGTTCTGAGACGCCCCCCCCCCCCCCGCCCCGCTTCACAGCCCATACTTCCGAGCCCCTACAACCGGTATTGTCAGCAAATGCTGCCTTCCCACTTTCCTTGGATTGTTTGTTTGTTTAAGGTCTATCTATTTATTTGAGAGCGCAAGCGGGAGGCGCAGGGAGAGGGAGAGAAGCCCGGAACTGGACCCTGAGATTACGACCTGAGCGGAAACCAGGAGGGGAAGCCTTAACTGCCCTCCGCATTGGGGTTTTTTTTTTTTTTTTTAAGATTTTATTTATTTATTTGAGAGAGAGAATGAGAGCACAAGAGGGGGGAGGGTCAGAGGGAGAAGCAGACTCCCCGCTGAGCAGGGAGCCCGACGTGAGACTCGATCCCGGGACTCCAGGATCATGACCTGAGCCGAGGGCAGTCGCTCAACCAACTGAGCCACCCAGGCGCCCCTCGCATTGGGTTTTTTAATCTGTACTCTGAACTCCCTGAAACTGAGCACAAAATCTGGCACATCTGTGTATGTGAGCTTCCTCCCACCTTGGGGGCTTCAACTTGAAGTTACTTAAAAGTTAAAATCCAGGGGCTCCTGGGTGGCTCAGTCGTTAAGTGTCTGCCTTCGACTCAGGTCATGAGGATCAAGCCCCGCATTGGGCTCCCTGCTCTGCCGGAGGCTTCTTCCTCTGTCATTTCCCCTGCTTGTGTTCCCTCTCTCGCTGTCTATCTCTCTGTCAAATAAGTAAATAAAATCTTAAAAAAAAAAAAAAAAAGTTAAAATCCCAATTCACATAATCCCTCCTCAGGCCCCCACCCCGCAGTTGCTCAGTCTGGTGGTCCCTGTGCAACCCACCTGTTACAGTGTGAGGTATGTACCCCTTTAAAGATCCAAACTCCACCCCCCACCCCCCCCCCCACCCCCGCCAAGTTCTCAAAGGCAGAGGCCATGAATTCCTAGAACCCAGCAAGCATGCTGGAAACGGGGGTGGGGAGTGGAGCAGTTGTGGTTGTGCTTTGTGAGGTGACCCACTCAGGAGCAGCTTCACAAGCAGCGTTCCTGGGTGATGGGACAAGCTAAGCCTGCTGCCACCTGCTTACCTCCTACTCCCAGCCTGCAGCCTCTTCCCAGCAGCACCAGAAATTGCACGCTGTATTTTCCATAAAGCATTTAATTGTTTTCTCAGGGGCGGGACTCCTGGTTTGGGCTTGGAGTGGAGTGCCTATCAGGCTGGCTTTCAATGCGTTCTGTCTTTGCAGGGCTCTCAGAAGAGTGCTCCATTCTCACGCCCATTGACCTGTGGCTCCTTAAAGACGGAGACACAGATAGACACCATGGGCTCTAGCTCCCCACCCCCATGCCCGAGGAGACCTGGGCTTTAGGAGAGGAAAGGCCGTGATTGACAATGTGGGTTCAAATCTGGCTCCTATGCTGTGTGGACTCTGAGCAAGTGATTTCCCCTCCTCAAGCCTCAGTTTCCTTATGAATGAGCCTCACAATCCCTGCTGTGCACCAGGTTGTTCTAAAGCATAAGGGACAGTATCCCGGGGGTGATTCGTGTGACACCACCCCGTAACAGGGGCTTGGTGTGTGGCCATTCAGCTGGCCACAGATTCCTAGACTGCCTCTGTGGCTTAATTGCTCCTGTATCTTCAAGCAAAGCCCCTGCCCCTCAGGTCCTTAGTTTCTTTATTGGGATCTGGGGAACATAACCCTGGTCCTGCCTTCCTCGGGTGACATGGAGGACAGGGCCTGGGGAAGGACTTATTGACCCCTAGAGCTAGACAGAGCCCTTCAGGCCAAGGGAGTGGACCAGGCCAGGACTGAAGCGTAGATTCAGGGCGGATCAGCATGGTTGCCCACAAGTTTTCTCAGCTTTTCCCTGGATGTCCAGTCCAGGCTGGAGGTGGGCAGGGAGACAGCTGGGGGAGACCCTGTGGGGCCCAGAGTACTGACAATGGCACCTCTTCTCCCTGTAGCTGGGCAGAGCCAGCTCTTTGGCTAGCTAGATGGCCTCACCTGGGTTTCCTGGAGGTGCCCTCTGTGTCCCCCTTTCCTGCCTCAGCCAGTAGCTGTTCCTCATCCAGTCCCAGTGCTGACAGCACCTGGGAGAAGCGCCGGGTCACTGTGAGCCGGGCATTGACCTGAGGAGAGAGAAGCGTTCCTGCTCTGCACCAAGGCTGCTGAGGACAAATGGTGCTGGGATTACTGAGGGGGTCCCAGGGCGTCAAGATGGGCAGTGGCCCGGGGCCCCATCCAAGGGGGCCCCTCTCACCTTACATCCCTACCCACTCCTCCAATGAGAAGCGCTGTTCTCAGGGAAGGGGCATGCTTGTCCAGGTGCTAGCCCTCACCTGCATGGCCTGCTGGAACAGGTAGGGCCGGGCCTGCACCCTGTGCTGGATGCCCTGCAGCTCTGCCTGATACTGAGCAAAGCGCTGTCGCTCCTGGCGCCTGCAGGGAGATGGGCCTCTGGGCAGCTAACCATGAACACAACCCATCCCCACTCTTGAGTCCACTCATCCTCACTGAGGACTCAACATCCTCCCCACCCGTACCTTGCAAAGCCATTTCATTCCCATCCTCTCGCCCTGGATTCCTCCTGAGGTCAGTGGGGTGGAAATTATTTGCTCCATTTTACCCATGATGAGCCTGAGGCCCAGGAGGGTTGAGGGACTTGGCCAAGGTTGCACAGCTGGGAAGTGAGAGACTGAGCCCTGAGTCCAGGTCCGCAGGCCGTGCAGCCAGGGCTCATCAAGCCTCCCAGCCACCCCCAAGGGAGAGGGGCCAGCACTGGCTTCAGAGCAACTGGGTTTCTGCTTGCACAATTTCTCCCCTCCTTGCGTTTACACCCCTGCGCCCTCTCACACTGCACCTGTGAGGGAGAAGCCAGGGCTGTTGACCATGGCTTTGGGCAAGGCCCCACTCTGGGTTCAGTTTTCTTTGCACTATGGCAGGGTTTAGACAAGTTTGTCACCATTCTCTGTCGTTCTTATAAGCACACAACTTAGAAAATGAGATGAAGAAACAAAAGAATTAGGTTGCAAATGAAAGAACACTTCCTGAAAAGATCAGGGTTCCACAGGGAAAGCACACATCCATTTACAAAAACCTGGTTTGTGCGCTTTTCTGAAATGTGTCTGCTCATCAAGCCGAATATCCAAGCAGCAAGAGGGGCCCTCTGGCCACACGGGACCAGGAATCCCGTGAAGCACGGAAGAGAGGTCTCGGGGCGTGTTGGCAGCATTCACACACAGAACAGGAGGGGAGGAGAGACAAGACTCAAAGACTCGTGTTGGGGCCTCTAGCAAACATGCAGGGGCCCCTCGGAAAAACACTGCCTTGTCGGGCCAGGACCCTTGGCTATGTGCCAGGAAGGAACCTTCCTCCATTCACAAATGAGAGATGAACTTGGAAACCCATGGCCAGGCACAGAAGCTATTGCAAAACGGAGTCGTCAGCATTCATGAGGTAATTTCAGCAGTTACAAAAGGCGGGGGTGGGGAGTGAGCTGGCATTCAGTCTCTGTCTTGCCTGTGATGTCATGCGTATTTTTCCTTCTTGGTTCTCGATGCTGTTTGTTAGAATTGAGAGGAAGTCCATGTCTTGGAGCCCTAAGCAGAAAGGAAGCCTGGGACTGGATGTCAGCCCTGTCCAACGTCTGGGAGGAAAAGGAAGGCACATAGCCTCCCTACCACAGGGCGACCTCTCGAACCCGCCCCTCCTGTGCAGGGCAGAGCCTTTGCAGCTCAGAGATAGCAAAAGTCACAGGATGTAAGGGCTGAGAGATCCCCGTGGAAAACATCTGCTCTCAAGTAGAAAATAAAAGAGGTGTGTGTGAAAGACTCCTCTCACGGACATCTGTCATGTGGAGTTCTGAACCTTACGCTTCCTGCCTTATTGAAAAAATAAACACACAAACAATGAACTTGAGAGGTCTGGCAAGGAGAAGGCATCTGCCTGATCCCTGGCCAAGGATTCCTTTAAAACACCCTTGACTTCTTAAGAGCCCTGGTTTTCTCATCTTCAAAATTGGGGATGATAAGCCTGAGCCTCAAAGAGTAGGTGATCGGAACTCTGTTGAGTCCTTGATGGCTCCGCTGCAGGGCAGAGACTCTCCGGTCTCTTCGCAGTGCTCCACTCAACCTTGACCTAGCCCTTCTCCCAGGATAAAAGGAGATGAGATGTGGAAAGGGCAGCCCTGCTGCCAATGCACCCAGTAGGTGCTCAGTGTCCACGGCCCTGGTGATCATATTTATTTGTGTTATCTGTTTCACTAGGTGGGGCTTTTGGGGGAAGACCCTGGCACACTTTATCTACAGATTGGGTATTCGAGCACTTGGGAGATGGGGTAACAGGGTGGCTAAATGGCTGCCCAAACTGGAATCCTAGTTTTGCAGCTCACTTGTGACCTTTGGCAAATTATTTGAGCTCTCTGAGCTCTGTTTCCTCCTCTGTCGAATTATGGGACTGATGATAATGCCCACTTCATGGGCCTGTTATATGAGTCTAAAAAAGATTTGCTTTTAAATACACGTTTGCCTGTTTCTTTTTAATGGTCAGCATATAGGAAGAGAATAAACAGATGACTCTTCACCTGATAGCAAACAATGGTTGTGCCCAGGAGTGAGATCACAGGTACTGTTTCTGTGCTCAGGGAATGATTTCAGTAATATCTACATTTTGCTAATAAGCATGCCTGGCTTTTGAAATCAGAAAAACAGGATTTGAGCATGTGGTAACGCATGTAGACCATTTTAACCGTGAGCTTCTGACAGCTGCAGGATTGTTATCGTGAACTAGGTGACCTTGGCTCAGCCCCTTCTCCTCGCGTGCCTCAGTGTCTTCATCTGTAAAGTGCGGCCAAGTGGGCCAGCCCACCTGCCAGGGCTGTAGGATGGCTGTGGAGACTCAGCCCTGAGGGAAGGTGAGAGCCAGGTCTCCTTTGTCCTTCCTCTGACATCTGACATCTTGCACTGCCTTCCCTGCCCTCTCCCCACCGGGACCTCCCCAGCCCAGGCTTCCTACCTCAGCTCCTCCAGCTTGCGCTGGGTGGCCCCCGGCCCCCGGCTCCCTCTGGGTGCATAGGCCGCCAGGCAGCGAGCCACCTGCTGCTGGACCCGCTGCTCCCTGGCCCTCCGCAGCTCGGCCTGCTGGCGCTCCTCCTGCTGCTGCCGTTCCCAGGCCTGCAGCAGGCTTCTTGGTAGGAAGAGGGAAAGAAGGGGGTGGGAGAAGTCTGGGGTTGGGGCGGGGGCAGCAGTCTCATGGAGGCCAGGGGCAGGGAGAGGAGTATGGGGGCCCGAGGGAGGGATCACGGGCCTGGGGGACGGGGTTTGTCATGGAAGTCTGATGTGATGAGCGCTGTATCTGGGGCTTGGCCCTCAGGCCCACCTCAAGGCCTTTCCCTACTCTTCCTGGAAGCCTCCTCTCACTCTAGCCAGCTGTGTGCCCCAACTCTGAACATCGTCAGCCCTGTGGGGCTTAGGGCCCCTGTGCCCTCACCCGTATGGCTAACTTCCCCTGGCAAAGCAGCTCTCCTGAGGGCAAGGGCCAGATCTTGTTCTCTCTGCCCCCCATCTCTGGTAGGAACTAGGTTCATGCCTTTTGGATGGAGGGACAGACAGATAGATGAATGGATGGGAAACAGAAACAAAATAGTGAGGGGATCAATGGATGGATGAAGGGGTGGATGAATGGTGTGGATGGTTGAGTAGACAACACCTAGCTCCACCTGGAATGTTCTTCCCCTAGCTCTGATGGCCAGTTCCTTGTCCATGAGGTCCCTGACCACCCCTTTCTACCTCCCAGGTATTTTCCATTTCTAGCTATACATTTTGTTCATTTCTTTATTAATTATCCTTCATCCCACATAGACTGTAAGCCTCATGAGAGCAGGGTTCCTTACCCCTCTCTTCACCACCAGTGTATCCCCAGCCCCTAGAACAGTGCTTCACATAAACAGAAACTCAGTGTTGGTGAATTCATGCATAATCCAATCATGGTTGGACAAATTAAAGGGTAGATGCACTCGTTCACTCAGCACATATTTCTTGAGCACCAGCTGGGTGCCACGTCCCTTGTAGGGCACCAGGGAGGCCATGTCCAATAAGATCTGGCACCTTCCTCAGGGAGCTCTAAGCCTGTACACAGGGAGAGACAGACAGCCTGGCACCCCAGTGCAAGGCCGGGTGGCAAGAGCTGTGGCAGAGGCAAGCACAGGGGAGAGCTTCCTGGAGGGCGCCTGACTTGGAAGTTGAAAGACGCATTGAGTTAGCTGGGTGAATGAGGGAGAGGAGCAGTCCTGGGAGAGGTAAAGCAAGGGGCATTCTGGCTCTTCTGACTGGCTGGTGTGGGACATAGGAGCCTCCTTACCGAGAAATCTGGGCTTTGTTCCAAGTGGACTGGGAAGCATGGGAAGCAAGCAGGGGATGACAGAGTAAGAATTGAGGAGTGCTATTAGAATGCTGAAATGGATTCTCACCTGCCACTTCTAACTAGTCACCAAGGCCTGCTGAGCCAACCCCCAAATATCTCTTAAATGGATCCCCATCTCCATTCACGTGGCCAGTTAGTTCAGGCCCTTATCTAGACAGTGCAACAGTGCCCCTTCCCAGGCTTCCCCCTCTGCTCTCATTGTCTTTTGTTCAAGCCCTAAGTATAGCAGTCATCTAACTCTACTGCCCTCATTGCTGTCTTGCCCATCTGTCTCCTTTTCCAGCAGACCTTGACTTTCTTAGGGCTAGGTTCAAGTCTTTTTATCTTTACATCCTAAGCACCCATGAGTAGATATTCAACATATGTTGCATTAATCATTTCGTTAATAGATTAATGGATGAATAGAAGATGGGAAATGATTGAAAAGTGGCTTGTGCAATAGACACCTGGCCAAGCAGACAGAGATGGATGGATGGGTGGGTAGATGGATGGGTGGATGGATGAGTGAATGTGTGGATGGACAGATGGGTTGATGGACAGATAGGTGGATGGATAGATGGGTGAGTGGATGGATAGATGGGTGAATGGGTGGATAGATGGGTGAATGGGTGGGAGGGTGTGTGGATGGATGGATGGATGGATGGATGGATGGATGGATGGATGGATGGATGGATGAGTGGGTAGATGGATGGATGGATGAGTGGGTAGATGGATGGATGGATCCACAGAAGATTGGATGCCCAGAAGATTAGAGAATGGATAAATGAAGGAATGAATGAGAGGATGAATGATTCAGTGTCTCTGGAGAACTGGCTCCTTCTCTACTCCCAGCCCTTTATTCCCATCCTCCTTTTTCTTCCACCTTACCTTGTGGCCTCCTGTCGTTTGTGGAAGGTACGGTTAGGAAAGTTGGCAAACGGGAAAGTCTCTTCATCTCCCAAGGCATAGGTCTTCCCACTCCGATTGGAGGCCTGGACAGTAGCCTGCAAAGCCTTCCAGGGCTGCTTTTCAGGGCCTATCCACAGTGGGACAAGTCAGAGAGTAGCCCCCATCCCAGCCCATTGGGCAATCCTGCCCAGCACCTGGAGCACAGCACAACCCTGTCTTCCCAACTTAACCTCTTCCCAACTGTGTGGTTTCCTGGGGACCCAGGCATTGATAGCCCACACTCACCACCGTCCAAGTCTTGCTGTAAGTGCCTCTGCAGCTTCTCCAGGTCCCACGGCCCCTCCAGCTCCTTGGCCCTTGACTTCCTCCTCTGTGATCCTCTGAGGTTGGAGCTGGAGCTGTTTCCCTTGCACTGCAGGTCACCCTCATTGGAAGCCTCCTCGCCAAAATTCTGCCCCTTTCTCTGAGAACCAGCCCTCCTTCTATGGGGGGCCCTGTGCTCCCCCTCCTCAGCCTCCTCTGTCACGTCTGCAAATGGCTCCTCTTCTAAGATCGACCCCCTCCCAAGGAGGTGGGGCAGTTCCCCAGGGCTCATACCCCTCTCTGTCTCCTCAGCACCCAGGGCTTCCAGCTCAGTGCCTTCCTCGGACTCGTATCCTGATCCTGACCTCTTCCCAGGTGGCTGGAGGTCACACTCACTGAGTGCCTCCAGTTCTTGGCTCTCCCTTTTGCCAGGAGAGATGGGGATGAAGCCGCAGGCCCTGAGCTGCTGGCTCCTCTCCAGGTTTGGCACCTCTGTCTTCCAGCAGAAGCCATGGGCCTCTGGGAGGGTGGCTGTGGACTTGCACCTGGCCTTATACTTGAGGACTGCTCGAGACAAAGGCATGGGTTGGTAGCCAGGGGCCGAGAAGGAGCTAGGCTGATGCAGAGCCCGGCTATCAGTGGTGAAGCTCTCCCAGGCCCACTGGAAGGGGAAGGAGGGTTTCCGAGGAGAAGAGGGGATGAGACTGAGGAAGAGAGGACAGGGAGCAGGGGTCAAGGTCAGGGCGCTGGCCTGCAGTTGGGCCTGATACCCAGCATCCCACCCAGCCTGGCACACAGCTGCTTACTCTTCAGCTTCAGCAGAGCCATGCCTTTTCTTGTTCCGGACCTGGGGCCTCCGGTCCTTCCTTGCCATCTGCCCTGCGCTCCGAGACCTCGGCTGCTGGGCCAGAGTCACACCATCGCCACTCCCAGTCCTCCCCTGGGTGAAGACAATGGAGGAGGCCTAGCTCTGAGCAGCCTCCTGGACCACCCCACACCTCCCCCAGGGGACCCTCCTCTTCTGCGCACCCTGGCTGGCCCCCTAAAACTGACTTGTTACCGCTAAAACCGACTGATCAGTACCTCAATTTTTAATATTCAAAGATGCTGCTTACTGAGTACCTGCTGGGTGCTTGGGATTTTCACGCATCAACTCATTTAACTTTCCCAAGGACCCTATATTCCACTGTTATCCCTATGAGATCTCATCTCATAGCAGATGAGAACACTGAGGCTCAGAGAGGTGACATCACTTGACTAAGGTCACCCAGCCAGTAAGTGGAGTCAGGATCTGAACATGTTGAGTCTGTCCCCAGAGCCTAGATTTGTCACCATTGTACAATGCTGCCTCTGGGTCCCTGGACAGCTCTTCTGAATGCCCCATGGGGCCCTGGACTTGCTAAGTCAAGGTAGAGGAAACTCATTATCTTTCCCGAAACCCTCATCCTTCTGCAGTGTTCCCCACATCGCTCCACTGGAAGCCTGGGAGTCATCTCTGGGTGAATTCCTCATCTTCACCCCGAACCCTTGTGGCCTCCCTATGGTCCCTGCCGGCCTTGGGCCTTCCTGTCTCTCACCTGGGCCTCAGCTCCAGTCTCCAGCACCTCCCTCAGCCCTGGCCTCCATGCCCCCAGGCAGCCTGCCTGCCTCCAGGCAGTTGGAAGTGCCCCCCACAGGGCCTCCCTCACCTGCTCAGCCTGGGAGATGTCTGACAGAAACTTGAGCAGCCCGATGGTCCTCCCTGGAGCCTGGAGCCTCATGTCCTGCCCTGGTCTCCCCGAAGTAGTCCTGCTCAGCTGTTGGTGGGTGTTTCGCATATTGGTGTCCTGCCCCGTCCCCCACCCCCATCTGCCAGCCTTGGAACTGCCTGCCCCACCATCTCTATGGCAACCAGTTCTCAGTCAGTCTCAAGGGCTCTGGCAAAAAGCAGGCCAGGGAGGGTCAGCCAGGGTATGTGGGGCCGATTTCCTTCCGGGGGTGGTGGGGGAGGAAGTTCAGCAGGAGGCTGAGGAATAGTCAAGGGCTGGGAGTCCCAAGGGTCAGGGCCCAGCCCTGCCTCTGCGGGACTCTTCATTGACCTGGTGGAAGTCCCCTGTCCTCACTTGGCCTGTGTTTCCCCACCTATCTGTGCAAGGGACCTCAAGACTTGACCATTTGGAAGGGTCCTTACACCCTAGGAAGATGGCCGGGTGGTGCCTGAGGTGGGCCTTCTCCCTCCACCTGCCTCCTGGGCTGCCCCAGCCTCAGCCCCAGTGGAGGCCTCACAGAAGTCAAGCTGAACTCTCGCTTGGCCTCCCAGGTCCTAACAGGGCAAGAAAGGCCAGGAAGTTGACCACCATGCCCAGGAAAGAGGCAGCAGGCAACCAGGGCCCAGAGGAGGCTCTGGACGGAGTCAGAGCATTTAAATCTTACCCCAAACCTCTAAGCATCACCAAAATGCCTTGACTTGGTAAATCCCCATGGGACGCCCAGGACTGACTAGTGTAACCAGCAGCATAGGGATGTGGGGCAAGCCAAGGCCCTAGAGACCGGGTGGCAGGGTTGGAGGCCTGGCTTGGCCACTCACCAGCTCTGTGACCTTGGGCAAGTCACCTCTCCCCTCTGCAAAACTGGAAATCGTGGGCCCATCCCATAGGTTTGTTGGAAGGATTAAATGAAATCATAAAGGCAGTGCACTGGATAAATGTTTGTTATTATTACTGCTAACAATAATGGACCATTCCTGGGAGGTCGCAGCCCATAATGGTTAAGAGAACGGAGGAGGCGCTGGGGTTCAAATTTCAGTTCCACTTGTGCCTCTGTGTCCTCTTGGGCAGCGTTAGGCTGGTTATAATGGCATCTACCTCCTGGGGTCACAGTGAGGATTGAATCAGTTCATAGATACAGGTCCACATAGAACATTCCAACGGCTCATCCTAACTGCTATGGAGGAGCTGTTCCTCCTTAGCCAACTGTGCAGCCCCAGTGAGACCAGTAATGGAAGCAGATCGCAGCAGATGCCCTACAGGTGTGTTTTTCCCAGAGTTTTGTTTCTGTAGACTCTCATCTGCTCTCAGACCCCAGCCCAGCTCATTTCTCGGACAAACTCTGGGCCACTTCCTTCCTAGGCAGAGGGCAGGTCTGGGTCTCTCAGGTTAATATTTTCATGAGGTGCGTGCAGACCTCTTTTCTTCTCTAGCCACTCTCACTTCTCACAGGAGCTCATCCGGTCTGACACAAGCCGTCCTTCGCCTTCCCCCCGCCCCCAAGTTTATATATATCAGCCCTGACTTCTCCCATAAAGTCCAGACTCCTATCCACCAGCCGTTCAACACGCCACTTGGATGATGAGGAGCATCTTGACTTGGCATGTTGAAAGTAAGACGCTCCCCATCTCAGTCAAGGTCACATCCATCCTTCCCGTCGCTCAGACCAAAACCCCAGCGGCATCCTGGATTCCTCTCTCTCACACTCCACACCCCATGCACTAGCAAACCCTGCTGGCACCACCTTCAGAATTCATGCAGAATCCAGCCACTTCTCCCCACCTCCACCAGGAACGTGCTCCCCAGACCCACACTGGCTCTCATCTGGGTCACTGCAATGGCCCCTTCACTTGGCTTCTGCTCTTGCCCAATTCTATTCTGTACTCAGCAGCCAGAATGATCCTGTTAAGACCAGAGTCTGTCATGCCTTTGTTCAAAACTCTCAAATGGATCCCATCTCTCATAGGGTAAAAGCCAAAGTCCCATGGCCTCCTGGGTCCTGCTTGATCTGTCTGCCCCACCTCTCTGCAGGTGCCATCCCTGCCCCCATCACTCACTCTGATCCAACCACACTGTTCCTTTAGCATACCAGTCAGACCCACCTCAGGGCCTTTGCACTTGCTGCTGCTGCTTCTTGAAATGCTCTCTCTCCAGAATCGCTATGGCTCACTCCCCCACTTCCTTCAGGTTTCTGCTAAAATGTCCCCTGCCAAAGACAGACTAAGTGGCACTGTGCCCTTACTCTACTTCACTTGCCATACTTCATATATATTCACTTATTGCCTGCCAAGGATGTGGTTCCAGCAATCGGCCCCCTCTCTCCTCGGCCACTTTCCACTCTCTTCAGAATCACTTCTATCAACACAAATGTACTGTCATTTCTCTCTTGACCTCACTTCTCCTTCCCCAGCACTGCCCCATTCCTTTGTTCCCCTTTGCAGCAAAACCTCCCGACAGAGTTGACCTGACTTGCCAACATCGATCTCCCCTTCCTGTTCTCTCTTGGATCCGCTCCCATCAGGCTGCCACCCCCTCTGCCCACTGAACCCACTCCTGCATATTCCTCAGCCGCCCATTGCTAACCCAACGTGCTCTGGATTCTCCTACTGGTCTGGCCGCTCCTTCCCCACTCCTTTGCTCGCTCCTCCTCCCCTCCCAGGAGCAGGCCCAGCCTGCGGGCTCTGTGTCCACATTCACGGTCCCGGTGGTCTCATCCAGGTTCATCTTTGAAATACTGTCTGTCTGCAAATGAGTCTCAAAGTTCTCAGTACTCCTGGTCTCTCTCTCTGACTCGGAACTCCATCCCTCTCTCCCAGACATCAAATTTCCGCTCCACTCCTCTGCCGGGATGTCTAATAGGCATCTCAAGGGTACAAGGTCCCAAACTGAGCCCTCCATCTTCCCCACGGCCCTCCCCATCTTAGCCAAGTGCTTATCTATCCTCCCAGCTTCTCGATCCAAACCCTGGACTCCTCTTTCTCTTCTCCGTCGTACGTGGCAGTTAATCCTCCTGTCAAAGTGTATTTAGAATTGGAACACTTCCCCCCACCTGAGCTCACACCACTCTCAATGCTTATCTAAATTTACCAATTGAACCATTTTTAAGTGTACCATTCAGTGGCATTATTATATTTACAAAATGTTGTGCAACCCTCACCACTATCAATCTCCAGAACATTTTTTTATGAAAAAAATGAAACTCGGGGAAGCTGGGTGGCTCAGATGGTTAAGTGTCTGCCTTTGGCTCCTGGGTTCAAGCCCCACGTTGGGCTCCCAGCTCAGCAGGGAGTCTGCTTCTCCCTCTCCCTCTGCCTCTCCCTCTGCTGGTGCTCTCTCTCTCTCTCTCAAATGAATAAATAAAATCTTAAAAAAAAAGATTCACTTTTAAAAAAGTGAAACTCTATACCCATTAAATAATGACTCCCCATCTCCCCAGTCCCTGGCAGTCATCATCCTATTTTCTGTCTATAAGTGGAATCATATAACATTTGTCCTTTTCTGTCTTCTTCCACTTAGTATAAAATCCTCAAGATTCACCCATGTTGCGGCATATGTCAGAGTTCCCTTTTTGAAGCCAAATAATATTCCATGAATGTATTTACCACCTTTGGTTTATCCGTTCATCTGCTGATGGGCATTTGGGTTGTTTCCAGCTTTCAGCTACTGTGAACAGTCCTGCCATGAACGTGGACGTACAGACATCTATTCGGGTGCCTGCTTCCCGTTCTCCCGGGTGGGGACTCTGAAGTGCAAGTGCTGGGTTATAATGGTAATTCTACGTTTACTTTTTTTTTTTTTTAAGATTGTATTTATTTATTTGAGACAGAGAGAATGAGAGACAGAGAGCATGAGAGGGAGGAGGGTCAGAGGGAGAAGCAGACTCCCTGCCGAGCGGGGAGCCCGATGCGGGACTCGATCCAGGGACTCCAGGATCATGACCTGAGCCGAAGGCAGTCGCCCAACCAACTGAGCCACCCAGGCGTCCCTCTACGTTTACTTTTTTGAAGGATCATCATACTCTTTCCCATAGTTGATCCCACCATTTCTCACATTCCCACCAGCAGTGCCCAAGGGTACAAATTTTTCTATATCCTCGCCAACACTTGCTATGTTCTGTTTTTTTGTGTGGTTTTTTTCTTTTTTTTAGTAGATTCTGTTGTTCGTTTAGTTTGTTTTTTGTTGATAGCACCTCCTTGTGGGTGTGACCTGCGGTGGTCTTGAAAACTCAAGCCTGAAGTCCTGCAATGGCCTATGAGGGCTATGGGCCTGGCCCCACTCCCCTGCTTCTCCTGCTTCATCCTCCGTTGCTCACCCCACCCATCCCCCTTTGCTTCTAGCTGTTTTCTGGGATACATCAGACATGGTCTCACCTCTGCCCCAGCCCTTCCCTCTCCCTGGATGCTCAGCCCCCAGATATCTGTGTGGCTCAGTCCTTCACCTTCTTCCAAGGTACTGCTCAAAAAATGTCAACTTTTCAGAGAGCCCACTCGGACCACCCTATTTAGAACCACAACCTGCCCCATAAACACACACTCGACCCCTCTCACTTGGCTTTTTCCCATTGCACTAGTCACTTTCTCACCTTCCCCTTCTGCTATGGGCTGGCATCCCCCACCCCCAGATTCAGACTTGACATTCCAACCCTCAGCACCTCAGAATCTGACTGTATTTGGGAGTAGGGTTCTTAAAGAGGAGATTAAGGTAAAATGAGGTCATCTGTGTGGCCCTAATCAACATGACTGGTGTCTTTATAAGAGGAGATCAGGGGCACCTCGGTGGCTCAGTCAGTTCAATGACTGCCTTCAGCTCAGGTCATGACCCAGGGTCCTGGGATCGAGTTCCGCATCAGGCTTCCTGCTCTGTGGGGAGCCCGCTCTCCTTCTGCCCCTCCCCCTACTCGTTCTCTCAACCTCTCTCTCAAATAAATAAATAAAATCTTAAAAAAAAAAAAAAAAAGAGGAGATCAGGACACAGACACACACAGAGGGAAGCCCGTGTGAGGACATCAGAGGACAGTGGCCACTTACCAGCCAAGGAGAGAGGCCTTAGAAGAAACCAAACCTGCCAATATCTTGGTCTTAGACTTCTGGCCTCCAGATTAGTGAGAAAATAAATTTCTAGTGGTTAAACTTCTGTCATCTGTAGTGCTTTGTCATGGCGGCCTAGCAAATGAATACACCTTTGATTGAATCCGATTCCTTGTTCCATGGATTGTCCAGCTCTCGGCTCCCTAAGATCAGGGTCTTCGTGTTTTTTTCACAGCTGTATCCTCAGCACCTGGCACAGAGCCTACACATCGGGGACCCTCGATAACTAGTTTGTGAGCAAATGGATGAACAAAAACACACTGCAGTGTGCTGGCATCTCAGACAGAAACCTCGATGGAAGAATTTACAAATGTTTTCAGGTCATTGCCTCTCATGAACCTTCCTTTGGCTTCCAGACTGGGACCTAATAGCTGCTTAATAAGGTGATGTGAATGCAACGTAATCTTTCAGTAACTGATGGGCATGTCCACCAGCATTTTTTTTTTAATTAAAAAAATTTTTTTTAATTTCATTTATTTATTTTAATTTTTTAAAGATTTTTTATTTATTTATTTGACAGAGAGAGAGAGAGAGATCACAAGTAGGCAGACAGGCAGGCAGAGGGAGAGGGAGAAGCAGGCCCCATGCTGAGCACAGAGCCCGACGCGGGGCTCAATCCTAGGACGCTGGGATCATGACCTGAGCCAAAGGCAGACGCCCAACCAACTGAGCCACCCAGGCGCCCCCTCATTTATTTATTTTTATGTAATCACTACACCCAGTGTGGGGCTCGAACTCACGACACTGAGATCAAGAGTTGCCTGCTCTCCTGACTGAGCCATCCAGGAGCCCCAAACATTTCCTTTATTTTTATTTTATTTTATTTATTTTTTTGAAGTAGGCTCTATGCCCAACGTGGAGCCCAAACTCACAACCCCAAGATCAAGAGTCACATGCTCCACTGAGCCAGACAGTCCTCCCCCGACCACAGCCAGCATCTTTTTAAATATAACACACATACATGGGAATAAAATATATCTCCCCTGAGGTGGAGCTCAGAAAGGACGGAGAGCAGAAGGAGTGGAAGGCACTCTGTGGACTGGCAGGACCCATGTTGAGGCTTTCTCTTTGGGGCAATTTATGAGTGCTCCTGAGACCCCTCTGGGAACTTTCAACCAAAGCTGGCCCCTCACCCCAACTTCAGCCACAACCTCTGGCATCAGGAGCTTCCCTGCACCCAGAATGCCTTTCTCCCCACAGTCCCCATCACCCCATCATCATTGGGCACCCCCTCCTGTCAAGCTGGCCCTGGCCTGGCTCCCTACCCCCACGTCTTCTGCCCCTGGAGATTGGAAGGCTTGCTTCACTCTTGGATCATAGGCAGCCCCCTCCCTGTGCAGCTCTGTCACCAGGACGGCAACGACTGCCCAGGG